GCTAAGAGGTAAGCGAGGTAAACAATGAGATCGTCAACTTTTTAAACTGCACATTTGAGTAGCCACTGATTACAATCACCAATCTCAGAATTAATGAATTGAGTACATTACCATGAATATAAAAAATGATTAATAACGCAGCAATACCAATACTATTTTTTTTTTAACAGGGAAGGCGATCGTTACTACAGTGATGCTGGCGATCTGTTATGATGCCTGAAGATGTCCATAGAGATGGGGTAGGCGGTATAGAAAATCATAGCACCAGACAAAAATCTCGCGAAAACATATATGAGTACCGTGATACGCCGACCTCACTTGTGGAGCGTCACATATCAGGAGGAAGGGCGCCATCTTCATCAAGACCACCTTCCAGTGCAGCTACCACTTGCCCAGCGAGATCAGCTTCTCAAGGATCTCTAGGAACTAGCAGCAGTGCTGTAAGTCTCAAAGATTGTGTGACTAGCAGTCCAAATCCTACTGAAACTAATAGAAAGATGGCAGGCACCCCAGTTATGGGAAGCAAAAAAGGCCAAAGCAGAAGTAGGACTCAATTGGTTCAAGGAGTGCCACAAACTGAAGTTTGATAAAAACAATAAAATTTGTGTAGAAGTGTGCATGAAATTCAGTGGTCTGCAGTGAATGTTATATGTAAGTGTGATACTGTTGAAGATTTAACTAGTACTTGAAAATGTGTAAAAGAAACATTTTAAAATAATTTAGCGAGCAAAGAACAATTTTCATGAGTAAAAACATGTATCAAAATGAATGTTCATTGAAAACTAAAAGAGAATGGTGTTGAACATGCAAAAGTTAAAATTAAAGCAAATATAAAAGAAGTATCAACATAATTTAATAACACTATGTTGTTACTAAATTAAATAATTATGTATAAACTCTAGAAGTTTGATATGATTAACACAAAATTAGGACGAGTAATTAAGGGTAAATGAGTTCGAACAAGTGATATTATCTTGTTGATTTAGCGAGATCTCGTAGTAACTTAAGAGTAAAACTTTCCAAACAAAGTGTTCAAAGAAAATAAAATTGTAACATGTGAATCTAATGAATTGTGCATAGATATCACAAGGTTTTTATATTTTTAGTTTATAGAATTAGTTAAGGAAATTCAAATACTTATACAAGCTTCAATGTTAAGGTGCAATGTGTATATACATATGTAACATGATATAGAACTCTTGCAAGGGGATCAGCCATGTAGTCATAAGCTAATATAAGTTCTTTAGAATTGTGAATACTGCATAGTATTACTTCATTACCGTACCATACATCAGATTTAATATTTATTATTCATTTAATGAATGCTAAGTAAAAAAATAAATTGAAAATTTTATACACTTAAAATGTGCTTTTAAGTAAAAAATGTAAAATTTATTTCAGGCTGTTTCAAGAAAAAAAGCATTACTTGACAAAATTTAAAACTTAATGTATGTACAAGAAACTTAGTGAAACGCTCGAAATATTGTTTTAAATTAAAATTCGCATAAATGAACAAAGCATTGTTCAGTAATGATCGACTTTTAAGTTTTGTAATGAAGCATATAGCTTACGGATTTCAAAGTAATCCATTTAAGAAAGAACCACAGAATTTGTTTATATCAATGTATTCGATACATTTACATATTTTTTGTAAGAAAATTAACAGGCAGCGAGGTCTTCTTGAACCTTCTTCCAAGCGCTCAATGGTCCATGTTCTGGCCTGTATTGAACATTGCAACCATCAGGAGCCAATCTTCCCTCATCACGAAGCTTCTCATATACATCACGCTCATATTTAGTGAATCCCCATTTCTTGGAAACATAGATCTGGAACAATAATGTTCATAAATGCTAGTGGCCACTGCTAATTTGAAAATTACACGTAGTTCAGCAGCATCATTGAATTGCTAATCCTCAAATATTCTAGTATACATATCACTATCACCTGTATTTTTGTATAGATTTCAATAGATTTATCTATTGATAGACGGAACAGTAATATTAAGTAACACAAATATAAATCATGAATTGTATGTCATTAACATTTTATGTTATGACATCACTCTAAAGTTACTGTTTGCCAGTAAATTATTGCTTCAAATTGTGTCCCCACAGTCACCATAAAGTGCATACACCATAATCACATAATGAAGGCAAAAAAATGAGTTGAATAAATCGTTGAAAACCAATAATATTTACAATTTTCCAGCGATTTACTAGTGACAATATCATTGGTCAGTACTAATATCAAATGCACAAATTGCATCTGAAGTTCACTTGCAAATGTCAGAGTATGTAAATTTAAGTCACTACCAATTTCTTTTATAATATCAAATAAAAGACGATTTCTTTTTTATCAAGTCCAACGATAATTTCTTGATAAATTTGATTATTCACAAAGAGCAGATTTAAATATTTAAATTATTTCGTATCCTACCTTTTGTCTGCCAGGGAACTTGAACTTAGCACGACGCAGAGCCTCTACAACAGCGGCCTTGTATCTGTCACTGGAACGAACAGACATGATTGGTTGACCGATGTGAACTCTGGCAACAGTACCTTGTGGTTTTCCAAAAGCACCACGCATTCCAGTTTGGAGCCTAAATAAAAATATTTTGATTTTAATACAACAGTCACAAGATTCCACAAAAAATTAAATATTTTTAAAGAATTTGTCATCGGCATGGTTCTCTAAGTTGTCTCAGCCTCAAGGCTACAAAAAGTCTATGGAATATGCCTTCGGGTCACATTGACACTTGATCTACGACACAGTCATTGAACGCCTTTATTGATTAAAGGTTTCAGAGACTAATGTCGAACTGGTACAGAAATCCAGTAAAAAACCTAAAAACTATCAATGAAAACTAAAACAAATTGCATCTAATCAATTTGTGACAATAAAACACCTAGGCAAAAAAGTGAAATAAGATAAAAATAATGTATCTACCTATCAGCTCCAGCACACGATAACATTTTATTGATGCGGATAACATGGAAAGGATGCAGCCTCATTCTGATGTGGAATTGATCTTTACCACAATTCTTAACGAGGTATTTGTTACAGCAAATACGTCCTGCTTCCAGTGCCTCAGAACTCAATTGTTCATATTCATCAGATACAAGATGCACACATAGTGGAAAATCTTCTACGCCTGCCTTCTTCTTACCCAAATCGAAGATACGAATTTTAGCGTCTGGCACACCACGACAGAACCGAGATTTGGGGTAGGGCTTGTTTTTGCAATAGCGATAACTAAAAAATAAATATTACATTAAAAACTAGTTCTCGCACAATTTCAATTAAACAATAATAAAGTGATCACTAATTATATGGAAGTGGAGAAGCTCGTGAAATGTCGGAGCACTAAAATGTCTAACATAACCTCAAATAATTTAACAAAAACGTGGCACTGCACTTAATTATTTCAATAGCATTATAATAAAAAACAATAATTAACGCATATTTATAATTGAATAAAATAAAATACTCACCATCTGGCCGGTCGACGACCCATTTTTGCCTGAGAAAAAACAAAACCAAAATTAATCTAAATTATTGAATATATTAATCCAAATTATAAACGTACGAGCACAGCACAACGTATATTAAATATAAATCACTATAATTATTATTAGCACGCTTATTCAAGATAATTTAGACAAAATACCTTTGTCAGTGTCTGTCTCCAGCAATAAGAACCACAGAAAGAATTTATTTCGCATGCGGTTCGACTGCCCTAACTTCGTCGTACATCCGCTCAGTTTATAGTGAAGATAGAGCTGAATGTCACGCAGTGCGGCTCGGCGCCAAATTTGAAACTTATGTCAGTTCAACATTATAAAGACTTTGTGATTCCACAATATCAGAATAGAAATAAACTTTTATTAATAATTGCAAATCATATTAATATAAATGCTGTACATCGGTTCGATTTACGTATAAGCTGAACCATATAGACATATGTTTAATTCTAATATTGTCTAAGATCATAATATAAAATATGACAAAATGAAATTATTGATAGGCATATTTTTTAAACAAAGTAGTCGTAATTCCCAGTTAAACAAAATATAAACAAATAAAAAAATGCAAAAACCGCTAGTGCATTTAAGCTAAATTCCACAAAACCAAAAATAAATCATCACTAATGCAAATATACAGTTTAAACCAAATTTTTTAATGCATGTTTACTTGCCGAATCACATAAGAAAAGGTAATTACAATGAATTATTTAACTAGATTAGACCGTTTTTTGAAGTATGCAAACTGTGCATCTTTGTTATATAAATAACAATATTTGTGTTAATTTTTTAAATGTCGTAATATTATTTATTTAAATATTAAATTTATTTAATATTATTTTTAGAAATAGTACATGAGCTATACAATCAAATTAACTAAAACTACAAGATGATTTACCTAGCTACGATTTGCTTTATGAACTTGGCCGTATATTTTAAAATATTGGGACTTTATATTGCCAGTGATATTATGAATTTACAACGCAATTGGAGGAGAAGATTTAATTCAGAATTACTCTGCAGCAAATTCCATTTGTAATATTTTTTAAAAATGTAAATATTTTGATTAAACACTTTGATTCTGTAACTTTTTAATATACAAAATTAATTATACAATGATTTATTGAGCATTTTTTTCTTTTATTTATTATAAACATGAATTTGAGACAACCTGACTTGTTTAACAGGATCTCGGTGGACATGATTTAAAAATGCAAATAAAGTCACACATAATGTTTTATGCATTTTTTATTGTTTTACAAATTCTGAACAATACTTTTATTTATCTATAAAACAGTCTTTCATTATTAACTACTTGGTGCGTGCTTAAGAATGCACTTTGGTATCGTATTTTGTTTACAATTTGAGACTAGCTAAATATAATCCTTTTTCTTATAAAATATATACATAATTTGCGACTTATTAAATTAAAAATTCGATATTTAAACTAACAATAAGTTAATTAAAATATATAGACATCATCGTAAAGGCAATTTATCCGACTTTCTTTTGCAGTATTTGTAAAGAAGTTCGGGCACCCAGGTGATCACTATGAGAATCAGAAGAATATTTTGAGCATGTATACATAGACTGTAACTGCCCGTGTAATCACGAAGCCAACCTGAAAATATAAATGAGAGTAAATAAATTTCATTCAATAATCGAATGATAATAATTTGAATATTAATTTTAACTATTATTACAAGATTTTATATCAATAAGCTGAAATTTGTGTCTGTAACTGTGATAAAAACAGTTAAGAATCTGAGACAATGCATTATAGAAAATTTCTTTTCAACGTGCGTACAGTTCTGATTTCTGTGCATATATAATTACCAAGAAACTGCCCGATAGTTATGACAAATGCTCCCTTAACGCACATGCCGAGACCCAAGGCGGCAGGCAGCCTGGACGCTTTGCAGTGTTCGCTCAGCACCAGGTTCTGGTTGACAACAGTCGCCGCCCGTACATAACCGCAAAGTGCAGAAATAGCGATAAGACCGGTATAACTTTTTTGCTCAGCTAACACTACAACATATATGTATATAATAAACTATTCCTATTTATTGAAAATATAATTTCAGCAGAAATATGATTATGCGATAATAATTTTGATTCATTAACACACTATATGCGGGCAGCGTAAAAATATTTGAAATTTTCTAACAACAACTCACGGCACAACTATGAGAACTATTTAAAAAAATTTCAAAAGTTTACAAATTCAAAAATTATATTTAATTAAAACATATTTTATTTTCTTAAGTATCATTTTTTAACTAAAATATCACATATACGGTTGTTTTTATAAAGTGGAATCATTCAATCACAATCAAATAGTACACTAAGAAACTGACTGGTCATACGTTTAATTCAACTTTTAAACTTTCAAGTTGCTTTTCAGTTGTATAGTACTTTCTAAATAACAATAATTCCACTAATAAAGTGACTTTGCACAGCTGACGTAAAAATTTGAAAGCATACATTATATCAGATAATTATATTAAATTTTGATTTATTCCACGGTGTGAGGTTATCCCACTAAACTTTATAAAAATTCATAATAAAACAATAATGTACAAATTTATTATTAAGTACTCACATGCCCGTGCTAAAATTAGAGCGGCAGCTCCGATGAGGTAAGACAATCTACAAGAAAATCCCAGAATTTGTGTAATTGTTGGAAGAGTTAACCGAGAAACAATGTCCGCCCCAGCCAGAACTGACATGCACATCGCTGTATCAGCTCGGTTTAGTCCAGCTGATTCCTTGAATCAAAATACGACACATTAGTAAGAATATTTTACACAATTTATGAATATTGATGTAGGGCTACTCACTTGCAAAAAAAATGGAAATAACATGCTGAAATTGATACTGGCGGTATAGGCTAATGCGACTCCGAACACTATGTTAAGAAAAGTCAAATCCTTGAGAAGATCCAGGTCCATTAGGCTTATAAACTTCTTCCAGCACGTCCTTTGCACTGTGAACGAAAACATTTGGGTATGTTTTCACACGTTCTAGAACTTCTTAATATTTGCATTCTTACCGGAGATAATTACATGCAAGCAAAATAATAATAGAGAGAAAGCGTTGATAAATGTTTTACATTTTACAAGCAATTTGCGTACAATACCGGTTTTATTTTTTTTTCTTTTATTAATATAATTTTATCATAAGACTTTGCTCATATATTATCTTAAGAAATCGACTTTAATTGCGTATGCCTCACAACGTCACAACTGGTAGAGAAGAAAAGACAAAGCGACTTGCAGATTTAACGTGAATATAGCTTAAGATTTGGCGTGTTGTATGCTACTTTTATTGTGCCTTATTTAATCATTAATATTCAAAAATACTAAAAGCAAATAGAAATTTATAGTCCGCGTTAAAAAAAACTTTTCATTCTAAATTGGAAATTTGTCACAGCGATTACAAGAGCAACCTAAGCACAAATAATATAAC